TCCCCTCACTCTCCCACCCCCACCCCTCCTCGGGCCTCCCCTCCCCCTCCCCTTCCCCCGGGCCTCCCCGTGCGGCCCCTCCCTTCGGGTTTCTTAGCATTAACCGCCCTCCGTGCTCTCCCTCGCAGGCGCGTCGGGACGCCGGGAGGCATCTTCCCCCCTCCCGCCGCCCCGGGAGCCTGGGCTCCCGTCCGCCTTCCCGCATCCCCTCGCTGTGCGCACCGCCGCGCCTCCTCCCCGGGCTTCAGACCCCCGGCCTCGCCCCCGAAACATGACTCGCGATTTCAAACCTGGAGACCTCATCTTCGCCAAGATGAAAGGTTATCCTCATTGGCCAGCTCGAGTAAGTGATTTTTTAGCCTTCGATTCAGCGGTGCTACCTTCCCCAGGGGCCTACCTCCTACCCTTCCTCTTAATTTTGTTCTCCGGGTCCTTTCTCCCCCTCGCTTTCCTTCGGGCTCATTTGCAACCTTTCGTTTTAGCTTTTTGCCCGGGAATCGCGCAAGGAATTGCAAAAATCCAGGTGTTTCTACTTAAGCATTTCCCTATGGTTTGTTTTTGACAGACTTTGGCAGGTTTTCTTAATAGGAAATATTGAAACGGGATGCCAGTTAATGTTCCATTGTAGGGGAAAATAATCACGTGTGGGGTTTGATGTTTACAAATTAATGAAACATGGACGGTTTTGAAATTTTGAGTAAAATGTAGAGAATCCGTGGAGTTTATGCAGCCTCTTAGATGTCAAAGAGGTGATTAAATTGGATTCACAGGGTTTTTAAAAACGTTTTGTAGTTGATGAGGCCTCTGGATTTGCTTGTTTCATACAGAGATGTAGGACTGGATATTCTTGAAAATTTTACAATAAGATGTAAATGTATTTTCACATTTTTATTGGTGAAGTTTGCCTTATGACCTTGAAAAAGTTGTTTTTCCTCTTTGTTTCCCATAGGCAAAAGCAATAGACTCCGATTCCTAGGCTCACATCTAGTGGTACAGAGAGGTAATTAAGGCCTAGGGTTTTTTGGTGACATTTAAGAATTGAGACTGTTTAATATCTAAGCGCCATTTTCGGAAAAAGAGGTCTTTTTGTTAGCTTATGGTAGGACTCAGGTTCTGAGATCATGATAGAACCAAAAGAGTGTTGAGATCCATTAGAATGTTCAAGAGCCTTTTTAAATATAAACTTGATATTCTAAAGTTGTAATTTCCACCAACTTGCTCTTCTTTGAGGAGTGTGTTTCTTAAAGACATTTAAATCCTGTAGTTTTAATTATGTCAGCTGGGAGAAAACATACCCATAGAGAATCCTGCAGCGTGTTTGCTGACTGCTATCCAAGTGTAAGGTGTTCACTGTTTCTTGATTTTTCCCATCCATTTCTTGTTTACAGGTTTCCTTCCTAAACCTGGACAGATTTTTTTTTCCCCCTAGTCTATCAAGTCTGCTTTTTGGTTGGAGCCTTATCTTGAATGATCCTTAACTCAAAATTCTTACCTATATATTTGACACTCTTTCCTTTGTGATAACATTTTAACTCTTGCGTGCATGCTTTGACTTCCAAATAGATTGAAAACTTCTTGAGGGCAGTAGACATAAATTGAATGTCTTCATGCCCCCCCCCCCCCCCCCCCCCCCCCCCCCCCCGCCCCGTCCTTAGTATGTAATCATGTATTTATATAAAACACTGTTCCATGTGTGACTAGAGCAGAGGGAAATTGGGCAGGTTTAAGACCCCTCCAAGGCACTTTGTTTTCATGGCTTTTACATCCAAATTTATTTTGAGGCGTTCTAAAATCTGAGATTACAGGATATAGCTGTAGTCACATTTTGATGCTACGGTGCAGTTAAAAGCCAAGTGAAAATGTTTAAAAAGTTACCTCCTTTGATTGAGTTAGTACTGCTGAAAGCAAAATAAAGTAACCTTAGGAAGGCAAGAGTATTTTTCTTCTTTGTTTAATAAGTTCTGTATTCAACAAGTTCATTTGGATTGGAATGGGAAATTTTTGTCTTTTTCTTAGAAGCTGCTGATTCTGGTTTGATATTATCTGTGTGCAAAATTTATATTCATTTTTCCATCTTCTCCAATCTTAAATTATGTCTTTGCTTAAGAGAGATTAGGTCTCATCTGTGACTGTGACAATTGTTCCTAATTTGATTTTAATATTTTCTGTCTCCACATTCCAAACTTCCTTACTTTTTAAGTTTTGCATGTTCTCGTAATCCTGTATCAATAATAATTGTTTTTACAGTCAACTTAAAGTTGCCAAACATTTATTACACTCTGTAGGTACTGCACATTTAAAACTGTTTGCTAGCAGAAAGAACATATGAACTGGGTTAACAGAAAAATACCCCTTATCGTAAGGGCTCTAAGCATTTTCACAATTTTGGGGGCCTTGTCACAAAGTTGAAATGACCGGTACAATGATGGTATACGTGAGGAAATTAAAGTCTCTAAGAGTGTTAGGTGATAATGATTCTATGGATTTCTGCAACCTCAGACTGCCAAACAGTCTAATCACCCTCACGGTCTTTTCTTCAACATGATAATGCATAAAGAGTGCAGGGTAGGTCCTCGAGTGGTCTGCTCTCTTCTTAACAAAGCTAACTGATTTTTTTTTTAATGTCTTTCAATTTGTGAAGGTTATGACACAAGTGTTATTATGAAGTCTAAATAAGTGATGAAAAAATAGGTTAAATCCTGGCTTGACAGTACTGCCTGATGGCTTACCTCTCAGGTCTGCTTTCCCTTGTTGATAAGGGAAAGTAACAGGTATTACTGATGTTAGACTTAACAGCACCTAATACTTTTTTCCTTAATTAGAAAGACTGAAAGAGAAATGAAAAAAGGAAAAGAACCTCCTGTGATTCAACTATGTAGGTGCAAGATCTTTCCAGAATGTGTGTCTCAAACTTTTAGAAATACTGCTTGGAACTTTCATTAATGTCTTTTACATGACTCCAATATTTGTATAGCCTTCGTGCGGAAGTATCATTTATGATTTTTGAACAGGTTCAGACTCCCTTATCTGAAATGCTTAGGGTCAGATATGTTTAACAATTCAGTGTTGGAGGATTTTAGAAAGGTAACAGTGGTACATGTGGCATGTATTTTGCTCCTGGTTAGGGCCTTCTGGAATGGCACGTGGTAATCTAACAGAGTATCTTCGCAGAGAAGCATCAGAAACACTAGGTGGATAAAAGATACGACGAAATTGCTTCAGTGTCAGTCCAGGTTTTGCCACCAAATGAGTTCTGAGAAATATTTTGGGTTTTTGAGCTTCTTGGGTTTCAGAATTGGGATAGGGATTATGACCTGTAGAACTGGTCTACTTTTATCAGATCCTTTTTGGATGGCTTGTTTTCACTTTATTCTGGTGTGTTGAGGTGTGTATGATTTAAAAGATTTTAATTTTTCTGATCTTTCTTTTAGGTAGATGAAGTTCCTGATGGAGCTGTAAAACCACCCACAAACAAACTACCCATATTCTTTTTTGGAACTCATGAGACGTAAGTCCTTTTAGCTCTAAAGGCAAATCAGAGTTAATTTAGTGGGGTCATTGAGCATAAAATGAAAAACAAGTAGAGATTAGTTCAAAGAGAAAGCAGTAGAGTAATAATAGGAAACTTTAAAATAATCTTTGAACTTTGGAAAAAGTCTTCAAGTTTCCCTTTTAAAATTTATTTTTAGGGCAGAAAAATTAGATACTGCAGGTTTAACTTTTATTGGAATAGACGTTTTCCTTAATAAAAGGGGGATGTGTATGGAATCTTTCAGCAACAGTATGTAAGGAAAGTTTTAACAGAGCATTTGGTATTGATACAGTTATGGGTACAATAAATGCTTTTCATAAGGACAACCTGACACCCTATTTTAGGCTTTGTGATATTAGCCACGCAAATGGTTTGTTATGGGAAAACCAAGAAGAAATCTGGGAAATTCTCTATTTATGTGGTCCTGAGAGCCACTGTGACTATATACATGGGCAGAGGACTGATTTGGTAGAGCACATCAAGTTTTCAAAGATTGCAACTGAATATTCTTGAACTGTTACTTTTAGGTGCATAGGACTACTCCAGGTGCTATTTCATTGATTTTTGATGATTTTGCTCTTGAAGTTTAAAATTTGCAATAATTTTAGTAAAGTAGGCTTGTTTACCTTGGACGGGAGAAACAAAGTTGTTGATTCTAATTAGGATTATACATTTCTGAGTGTCTACAGTGGCAACATTTGGTGTAATGTTGCTTAGCCACTGTATGAACTTTCACATAATTTCTTTTAACAGCTTTACTGAGGTGAAATTTATGTCCTGAAGTGTCACTTGTTGAAAGTATTTAACAGTGGATTTTAGTACATTAATTTTCATACCCGTTAGCAGTTATTCTCCATTCCCTTCTGAGAATTAGACAACCACTAATTTACTGTTTGTAGATTTATCAGTCCTGGATAGTTCATATTAATGGTATCATACAATGCCACATAATTTTTTTTTTTAATAAAGTTTTGAGTCTAGAATTGGTTTGGCCTTCAAAATAACTTTGAGCTGGGTTTAGGGTATATCCCATATATAAAAACTTAGTTTTGTAAGAAATCATGAATTTCTGATTCATTAGAGTAATCTACCATTTAAAAAGCTTCCATAAATTTAATAGGAGAAGGTATCTTTTGATGAGAAATTTGTGTACTGCATACTGGAGTGGCAGTTTACTTAGTGTGGTGCTAGGTCAAGCTGTACCAGTATCACATGGGAATTTTAGTATGCAAAAATTCTTGGACCCCCACCTCATAATTACTGTACCAGAAACGGGTGTGGGACCCAGCAATCTGCTTTAACAAGCCTTCCAGGTGATTCTGATGAAGTTTGGAACACTAGTGAGTAGACATTCTTTAGAATTTTCCAGTTTTGTAGGTTTAGAATTCTAGGGTCACCTGGGTGGCTCAGTAAGTCAAGCATCTGGCTTCAGCTTAGATCATGATCTCACAGTTTGTGAGTTCGAGCCCCTCGTTGGGCTCTATGCTGACAGCTCAGTGCCTGGAGCCTGCTTCGGATTCTGTGTCTCCCTCTCTCTCTCTCTCTCTCTCTGCACCCCCCCCCCCCCCAGTTTGCACTGTCTCCCTCCCCCTCTCTCCCTCTCTCAAAAATAAATATAAATTGAGCTAATATTAAATTTTCTTTTCAAAATGCATTTGTCGGGACGCCCAGGTGACTTGGTTAAGCATCTGACTTTGGCTTAGGTCATGATCTCCCGTTTTGTGGGTTTGAGCCCTGCATCTGGCTCTGTGCTGACAGCTCAGAGCCTGGAGCCTGCTTTGGATTCTGTCTCCCTCTCTCTCTCTGCCCCTCCCCCGCTTGTGCGCGCTCGCTTGCGCGTGCTCTCTCTCTCTGTCAAAAATAAATGTTAAAAAAAATCAAAATGCACTTGTAATGTTTTGTGCCTTCGTGCTTTCATAAGTATACCCTTCATCTTTGGAAAGGCGGCATTGCTAGATCTCTTTTGGTCTGGTGACTTTTTTTGTATTTAAGGTTTTCAGAAACTGGGTCTCTGATGATTTGCCTTGCCCCGCCCCCACATTGGGATGTGGTTATTTGAGCCTTTCGGTTTGGATTTTGCATATATGAGAGTTTATTCTAACAGCCTGTAATTAGGGATATGGGAAAGGAAGAACATGGGAGAAGAAATGCCAATTTGGAGAACTACTTATTTGTAACTGATTTATAGATAAGATTTTTTAAAAGATATTTTTAAAATGTGAATTAATTTAGTGCAGAACCCTTTTGTAGCTTCATTTTTGCTCTGACCTAGAAACATTGGTTTTTCTTAACATTTTATGACATTCACAGTAAATTCATCCAGCAATCAAGTTTGAATATTAGACAACAATGAGCCCTTATGTATACCAACTGTGACCATCTGCTAGGTGTCTTAAAACATTCAAGACAGATTCTTCGTAAACGAGACTGACAAGGACCTAGTGCTTTTCCTGGAGCCAAGTCTTGGTGTTATCTTCGATTAGGTATTAAAGTCTTCCCCTTCCCCTCCACGTTTAGTCAGCTAGCAAGTCCTCTTGTAAAGTGCATGCTGATCTGTCCATTTTTGTCTGTCCCTTCTACAGCTTACTTATAAATAGTGTCCTAATGATATCTTGGTCTGTTTGTACTTTTCATATCCCAGTCAGATCATGTCATTTCCCTGTTCAGAGATCTTCAGTGGCTTCCTTATTAACATTGCCAACAAACAGAACCCCCAACTTTTTATCTGTAAGTGCTGTTGTAAGAACTTCTATGAATTAGCCTGTGCTTAACTCTGTAGCCTCATCACATTTTTCCACTGTTACATAAATCTTTCTCTTGTCTCAGATCCTTGCTTGTTTTTTCTTTGATGGGAAGCGCTTCAGATTTTCAGTCATTTAGATATTAGTTCAGATCCTCTTATGTTTATATTCTTCCTTGCTATGATGACTGAATTTTGTTTTTCTTTTTCCTTCACCTACAAGTGAGCTTGGAGAGCAGGGACACCTGGTCTATCTTGTTTATCGTCATTTACTTAAGTGCTGGTGCATAGTAGGTATTAAATAAATACTTGGTGATATTGAAAGTTGCTTTAGATGAAATCATATGTTGATTATGAATTTACTGTCCATTAACCAACATTTATATAGTGTTTAAAACAACTAGGTCAGAAGGCTGTGAATTCTGACTGCCATTTACCTGCTACATGACCTTAGGCAGGTTGCCTAGCCTTGTGTCTTTTTTTTTCCTCATTTGTAAAATGGGAATAATATATTTTATCTCAGAATTTTGGGTTGCAAATAAGATACTACATGAAAAATGCTTAGAAGAGCGCTTTGCATGTATTAAACAAATGTCAGCTACCAAAGATAATGTTGCGTATTATTTTTTGAAGACTTGTGTTAAACTGTTTGAAATGCAGTTTGAGTTTTGCTGACTGCTTGCTATTGTTTGCGGAGGAAATACTCTCATAGTTCTATCTCTAAAGTCTAGGAAATTTAAATGAAGATGGTATTTTTGTTGAGTGTATCTCCTTACTGATCTTAATACAAAGAGGTTGCTCTTCGTATTAACTGAGATGCTCAATTCTAGGAACTTCAAGAAATACCTATCACGGGCTGTTCTAAAACCTGCCAGATACATAGTTTTAGGAGTGAAGGTGAATGGGGAGGGGACAGTCAGGGTTGTGTATAACTTGTCCACAGGAAAGGAATAAAGGAATGAAATCATAGTGTAGGATTTTATTTTCATCTACACTTGTTCTTTTTTTTTTTTTTTTTTATAATTTTTTTTTTTTTCAATGTTTATTTATTTTTGGGACAGAGAGAGACAGAGCATGAACGGGGGAGGGGCAGAGAGAGAGGGAGACACAGAATCGGAAACAGGCTCCAGGCTCCGAGCCATCAGCCCAGAGCCTGACGCGGGGCTCGAACTCACGGACGGCGAGATCGTGACCTGGCTGAAGTCGGACGCTTAACCGACTGCGCCACCCAGGCGCCCCTACACTTGTTCTTATATACAGCTTCTGTACTCTAGCCATAACTGTGTGTGTTGCTATGGGACTTGTGTAGATTGTTATAAGCCTTGTACCAAGTAGTGAGGAGAGGAACTGTTTACTCATCTCTATACCAGCAGGTTTGTGGCACATAATAAATATATATTCAGTTGTCTTTTGAGTCATTTGCTATTATAAAGAATGCGTGCTGTTATAAAACTAGTTATAAAACAGTATATTTCATATTTTGTGATTTAATAATGAGAAATGAAGCAGCAAGTTAGAATCAGTGTTTTAAGAAATAACACTTTCTGTTTATTACTTGGCAACAATTAAATGAGTTTTGAGCTTTGTATTTTCAGCTCTGATAAGCTTTCCCATTTTTTATGTGCAACTTCTGGTTTGCTTTAAAGGTAGAGTGCTCCGGGTGTGTGATAATTGAGCTTTATAACATACAACCTACAAAATGTGTGTTGACTGACTGACTGTTATTGGTAAGGCTTCCAGTTTAACAGTAGGCTGTTAGCAGTTAAGTTTGGGGGAGTCAAAGTTACTTGCGGATTTCTGAATGTATGGGAGGGTCAGCATCCCAAACCCCCCCATGTTGTTCAAGGGCCAACGGTTAATGATTTCCTGTATTTAGGACGTTTTACATTAATCTTGATTCTTATGGGCTATGACTTTGGTATTTAAAGTCAGGAGTTCATGTATATAGGGGTACAGTATCAGTATTTTAGTAGATGTTTCAAAGACTGTATTACACTGGATAAAAGAAACCCTGGAACCCTGTTAAGGAATTCTGTACAAAGTTGAGGCTCTACTGTTTAATAGCTAGATGGCCTTGCTTGAATGAGTTAATGCTTCTGACCCTCAGTTTTCTAATCCTTAAAATGAAGATTTTGGTGGTACTTAAGTTTCCTTTCACCTCTGGAATTTGGTAACTTTGAATTAATGTATATCTTTTCATTGTTAAAACTAAAAAAAAACCAAAAAACCCATAGTT